GTATAATATAACAATTAAAACTGCACAAGTTTTAATTTGAAGCTGGGACAGGAGTTATGGTTTTTTTTAATGAAATTGGTATTTCACGGCGTTCTTTTTGACACATCTGACTTTCCGTACAGAGAAGTGGCCGTAAACTGGTGTGTGAGTACCCAAGCAACGTTTGTTTTTTACGAATATTTACATTAATAAATAATAAATCTTCAAAGCATTAATAAAACTTATGTGTATCTTTACGTGTACGATAGAAAAGATTAATAAATCAGTTGGCGGTTCGCTCACTCGATCGTTTCAGTCGTTGTATGCAGCGAAGCTACCTTGTTAGCTGCAACGATGCTAATTTTAGCTTTTAGCATCAATGCTAAATGTTGACAAAAAACACCCACGAGCTGGCATAAAATAAACGGCTTCTCTGGGATGTTAATGTCTGTGGCGTATTTAAAAAAGACAACGTGGATATTTTGATGTAATATAAAACTGAGCAAAAATAGAAACCATAGAGTTGCCGAACCTTTATTTACCTCATTAGCAGTAAAATGTGGCAGAGTTAAAGTTGATGAGTTTGTTTAAAAAAACAAGCAAACACACCTTTGTTGTTTCAGGTCAAAATGGCAGAGCTAACAGCTCTAGAGAGCCTGCTGGAGATGGGCTTTGACAAAAACAGAGCGTGAGTGACACAAAAAACCTAAACCAGGCTTGATTTATGGAGTTTTCAACTTTTAAGACGGACTTCAAAAAAAGTGCAAGTAAAACTGATGTACTGGTCATCAATTTTACTTTTTCAGGGAGAAAGCTGTGGCTGAAACAGGAAACCAGGGAATAGAGCAAGCCATGGATTGGTGAGTCTGACAAAACACAGTCCTGTTTAAACCTGTTAAAGTCAGACAACTTTGGTAATTTTTCTGCTTGTACTAGTAGTTTTTTTGTTGTTGTTGTAATAATTACTTGGTAAGATGTACTTAATGTAGTACTGTCTGTGCTGACGTGAATCAGTCAGAGAGTGCTCACCTGTAGAAGCAGCAGCAGCTCCTCTGTAGCAGCTCTGAAGCTTTCACACACTTAAATGTTCTTATAGTTTTTAAATTCCAAATACGTATCTATAGACTTTTAAATTGTATGTATGTGTTGGAGACGTCAGTCCAGTCTGTGTACACGTACGGCACAAGAGTAGGAATTTATCTTCTGTACTGTGGCTGCTCACTAACTCAAAGTGTCATGACCACTGTGAACACACACTGTGATGTTTAATCTACATCCAGGTAGAAGCAAAGTAAAGACGAGTTCAGTCGGGCTGAATTAAATCATTCTTTTAACACATTTATATAAAATAACCTGTGGCTGTTCTTGTTCTGGGTGATCTGCTTTCTTTAGGTTAATGGAGCATGAGAACGACCCAGACATCGACGAGCCTTACGTGCCTCCTGTGGGGAACGTCCTGGGAGAAGAAGCTGACAGTCAGACCAACACAGAGCAGGAAGCCACTGAAGGTCAGGGCATGTTGGGTTTTTAGGGAGAAGAATCAAAGTATAATAATATAAGTGAAGTTTAAACAAAAACATATGTACTTGTTAACATTTTGTTGGAATATTTATGGCAGGATAGGTACTAGTTTCAGCAACTGATTCAGTTACATCAAGGCAAAATGAAAACTTCGATCCGTATTATCATCTTATGCCTGTTTTCAAATGATATATCTGTGTTAGCAGGGCTCTAGACTAACTTTTTGCACTGGTTGCACCGGTGCGCCTAACATATTTTCTTAGGCGCACCCAAATTTTCAACCACGTTGCATTTAACATCAGAGTTTTACAGGTTATTTTTTTAATCACTGTTCATTAAGGCAACATTTACTCGAAAATAATTAATCTAGTAAACATGAAGTTCTTTATTTATACCAGAACTGTACAGGACATTTAACTTACTGAAAAGTATTTAAAGTGATTCAATAAAATTCTAAGTGCTAATGTTTAAGAGCTGAACATCTTATAAATGTCTTAAACATTTCATGGTTAATTTTTTTTTAGACACAAGCCCCTCAGATGGGCAACTCCTGTAGTTTGGCCCTATGGATCTTTGTCCTTGGCTAAACCAGAATGATAAACAGAGACTAATGATTAATAACAGAAATATTAGCAGCTTTTTAAAAAATAACAGAACACATAAAAGTTTGCAATTTCATTAGCATTAGACCAGACTTTTTTTTAGTCACACTATTAGGAAATCTGGTCGCATTTGCGACCAAATTGGTCGCACTCTGTAACCCTGAACTATGATATAATATCACATATCGATTGCAGACTTGTGAATTGAATCGTATCATGACAGACTTGGTGATATCGAGAAACATCGTATTGTCATCCAAACAAATTGATGTAATATCGTACCGTGATAAAGCTGGTGATTTATACCCCTAATAACTACAACTTTTGCATCCCAGAAAGTATTACTGTTATACTATAGCAATGTTGTTCGTGTGTAATTTGGTGTATATATTTATGTATTTGGAACAAGAAACTACATTTTAATCTGGTAATTGTTTTTAGAGCTAATAAGTCAAATTTGTCTGTTTAATCTATACTGAACATAGTAAAGAAATTTGTTTCTTTGTGGTTTTTTTGCCTTTAATTTTTTCATTTTCGTAACTTTTAATAAAAAAGTTCAAGTGGTCAATTTCAGTTGATGCTGAGTGAGATGTTTATCTCGAATCTTTTAGGTAATTTGAATCTTTGCTTTAGTTTTAGGTTGACAATGTGATTTATTTCAGGAACCGCACACGGTGACAACATTGAGAACATGGAGACTTCGAAGCGGCCAATGACCGAGGAGGAGAAACGCGAACAAGTCAAAAGGTCGGAGTCACTTTGAAGGTTTCATAGGATCTGTTTTTTTATGAACAATTCTAACACGAGGTTGTTCATTTAATCCCGGGCCATCTCTCGTTTTCAGGCTAGAGGAGCTGATGCGCGTGAAGCAGGCCGAGAGACGAGAGCGCGAGCGAGCGGAGGAGGTGGAGCGGGAGAAACAGCGACGGCGACAGGGCCAGGAGCTGCAGCAGATCCGCCAAAAGATCCAAGACGATGACATGAAGAAACTGGCCGAGCAGAGGAGGAGAGAGAAGATGGAGGACAAAATGGCCAGGTTGGATCTCATTGTAAAACTTCAGTTTACATCTTTGAGTAAAGGAAAATGAAATCTTTAGCTGTAAATACCAGGGTAGTTATAATTATGTCTTATAATGTGTTTTTAAAGTGCCGGTGACATGCCTATCCTTCATGAACAAAAAGTCAAAACATCTTTATACTTAAGAAAATTGGCATAGTACAGATTATTTTACCCATTTTGTCACATAATTGGCTTTTTTTTTTTTTTTTTTGAATTTGGCTCAGCTAAAGTGAAACAGGAAGTGACATCAAAAGGGAACTCATTAATAAAGTAAACTCTGGTTTTTGCTTATCAAAACAAAGTTATTTAAACTCTAAATCTTCTCCATCTTATTGATAGTGACTCAAAATAATCTAAAGAAACATCAGATTCTTCTCTACAGTCTGTTATCAGCTGTTGTAGCAACGCTCTGTTCACCCCTTTGACATCACTTCCTGTTACTTCACAGGCAAATATCTCAACAACATGAAATTTCTTTTGCAGTATGTTATCAATGTTATCTTTCCAAAAATGCATTCATGTTTATTACAAAAATTTGATGTCACAGGCACTTTAACTGTTTACTCTCTTCAGGCAAAGGGTTAAAGACAAAATAGCGAGAGACCGAGAGGAGCGAGCACAGAAGGTACATCAGCCAGTGATCATGTTCACCTGTTTTTTTCTTCTTTTCCTTTCAATTTTTGTTTGTCAGTAACTCTTATTGTTTGTTTTGGGGTCTCGTGATTCAGTTTGGAAGTGGTGCAGCTTCGAGCGCAGCTGCATCGACGCAGCCGACTTTACCCAGCCCCTCCTCACCCACCGGTCAGGGCCCTCCGCCCACCAAGAAAGAGTACGACCAGTCAAGGATACAGGTTCAGACCTCACACTTGGTTAATGCATCTTTCTCTTGAAAGTGGAGTTTGAACAAAATTTAACGGGGAATTTAGAGGTTATTTACTGCTTTTCTTAGCTTTTCACAGTGTTACAATTTAAAATGCTGGGCTTGAATTTATATTTTTAGTAACTGATGTGTAAAATCTGGCACTACATACTCATCACTATTTTTGATCAACGTTCAACTTTTGCTTTGGTCCTTCACACCTACTTTTTTATTGACTTTTATATACAAATATGTTTATGAATTAGTTTTCTTGGTACTTTATGTTGTGATTTCGTCGCATAATGTTGCCGGGTGTCGGATTAACTGCAGAGAACAGGTGAAACGGGTTGATCTGAACCGTTTAGACTAAATGTATTCAACAGAGGAAGGTACGACCCCATCTGGACAACGATGAATCATAAAACTTTGACTTCGAGGCGGTACATTAGGAACTGTAGAAAGGTTGTTCTTAGGGCTGGGTGTTGTGTAACAACCTCACAATTCACTTTGATTCACAGTTCCATTTGATATTGCTTTAAATTCTTCAGTATCAATTTCATAGTAAGTAGTACACAAATAAGTAATTAGAGTTCCTGTAGATAATTTTAGACCTTTTTTTTCTTGCTCATCTAAACAGAAATGATATACATTAACATTTGTGAGAAAAAAATCTGAAAATAAAGCAGTAACACAATAATGCTTGTTTTAAATATGGTTTGGTTCAGGGTTAGGTTAAACATAATAAACTGACCAAGGGATCCAGTCAAATGAGAGGATTTTCTGAATTGAGCAAAAATATTTTGCTGCATGAATGGACATTTTTACCCAGCTGTAGTCAATCTTTAAAGTGTTTCTGAGCCCTGATGTTACTTTTAGTTAAAATATTTCAAAATTTTTCCTAAAATAAATCTTAAATTAAAATATCAGCAGATTATTTCCCTTTTTTGTGCTTGTTGGCTAGCTGTAGATTAAATTATTATTATTGGCTGTTGTGTGTTAGTAAAGTGTTCCTGCTGCTGTGCGTCGTCATCATTCCTGAAGTTTCTGTGGAGTTAAAACGTCTGTGTTGTAAAACATCACCAGATTTGAAAAACCATTCATGCAGCTTTGTCTGCAAATATATAAAATACATAAAGAAAAATAACATTTCCTAAAAAATAAAAAGTAGGTAAATGTCTAATTCAATTTATGACAATGGGTAAACTCTAATTTGTGTGATTTACTTGAAGCTTTTTTTTCTTGTCATCACCGAGAATGAAATCAGTGAACTCAGAATTACAAAGAGGATTTAAATTTTATCCCACATTTAGGTTGATTTTTTTAAAAGATGAGACAAAACAAGAGTTATATTTTAAAGAGTCTTTATTTTAGTTTTTTTAATTTCTTCAGGTTCGTCTTCTGGACGGCTCCACGATCACGACGGTCTTCAAGGCTCAGGAGCCGCTGGCGGCCGTGCGCGTCTACATCCAGATGAACAGCAACACACCTGAGGGTGAGGACTTCACGCTGCTGTCACCTTACCCCCGCCAGGTCTACACTGAGCTGGACATGGAGAAGCCCCTCAAAGAGCTCGGTGAGAGCGGCGGACTTGTTTTCATCCAACGTGTTAGATGTGATTTGTATTTTTTATCCCAAATGTAAACTTTGTTTTCCTCTCAGGTTTGGTGCCTTCAGCTGTGCTGGTTGTTACCAAAAAGTAAGACCAGAAGGATCTGCTCTGTGAGCCTACCTCACCACTTCCACCACATCGACTGCAGACACACCAGACAGACTGATCCAGGAGCAGCTTCTGCCAGCTGACCTGAAGCTGCGTTCAGACACGACGAAGTGTTTTAAAAGAGCAACCGAATGCAAAATTCATGACGAAGCTTCACGAGTCGGACTTTTTACCTGTCAAAAATAAATAATAAAAAAGCAGATACTTCAAGAAACAGTTTCAACACGTTAGAGAAGAAAATATTCTGTTGTTCAGTTTCAGCCTGGTTCTTAAATTACTACACGAGAAGAGTGGTTCTGAAAGGGCCTTAAGTTTATTCCTCACGATCTTCCTGTTTTTTGTGACTTTCTATTTTTTTAAACAGTTTCAGCTCTGACGTGTATGTAGACATGGTTACACAGAATCCACTTACAATAAAGCTGACTTGGTCAATTCAGTTTGGACTATTTTTAATTTGTTTTGTGCAGTTTAATAAATTTACTAGAAAAATGAGCCAAAATTAAACTAAAACGTCAAAGTTGTTCTAATAAAGTTTTGTTTGAGAGTTTCTCCAGCATTAATAAATGATTATTATAAAGCTCAGTTAAAATGATTCACAATCATACAGAAAGAGCTGATTTTTTTCATTTTCTCCTTATCTGACTCCATGTAAAAGTCTGGTCTTGTTTTACACATCTGCCTTTCTATCAAGTGCTTTTATTTTTCAACATTTTGTTTTTTTTCCCCTGTTTGTAGAGTAGAATTTGGATACGTTTCAGTTTTGCCATCATAAGGTTAAAAAACCTTAAAGCACTTTTGTGACACTATAAAACATTTATACACAATAGAAAACAGAGGAATGGTACATAACGTTAATTGTACAATAAAATAAAGAAGGATGTGGATGACTTTAAAACATGAACAAAGGGGGCTGAATTGCCAACAAATAAAAAAATAATTGATTAAAATGCAGACAGTTTACTGAAAATAAGCATCACAGTGTCCTTTTGTAACATCTATTAAATAGGAGCTCTTTTCCTTTTTTTTTTTTTTTTTTACAAATCCAAGGCTGATAATCCAGAGGAAACGACTGTGGGATGATGGGATATGTTCTATCAGGTGATGAGTCTGTTTATGTGGCTCCAGCTGAAGCTCTTTAACTGGGTGGATAATAAGACTGGTTGTAGTTCCAGGTGTTCTGGTAGCCGTAGTTCCCGTAGCTGCCGTACTGAGGTTGCTTGAAAGGAGCAAAAGAAAAGTAATCCCAACTCAGTCAGCTAAATGAAAGCATTAAATAAACATGGTTGTAAAACAGTGTGTGTTCTACCTGATACCAGCTGCTGTACGCTCCGTACCCGGCCTGAGCACTCATGTCGGTGCCCATCATCGGCGGAGGCGGCGTAGTGATGGGAACGTGAGGCATAGTGGGCGGGGCTTGTTCTGACGTAGCTGCAGAAGAGCCATCGTCTGTTTTGCTCATCTTTTGTGGCTCCTCGTCTCTTAAGAAAAAAAAAACATTAACGCTCATAGTGATTCTTCCAAACTGATTTGAGGCACACGAGTTATTTAATGGAACAATTCTTTATTTGTCGTTTTCTTCACCCGTTTTCAGCTTCCCTCTTGGTTCCTCTGAGCTCGTCCAGCAGCTTCTGGTGGGCCTCGTACACAGACAGCACACTGCAGAGCACAGAAGCAAAAAGATTCAGACAACGAGCTTTTCCAAATGTTTCCAGGGTGGTTTGAAGTGTTTGTGATCCAGAGGGGCGACCTCTGGATGGAGCTGCTGTAATCCTCGGCGAACTGAAGACCTCTCTGTGATAAGAGTAACTTGGTGTGTGGGGTGAGAGGAGCTGCCAGGGCTTGGGTCACACACTCCCGCACCGCCTCGGCTGAGGCCCGGGGGTCGCCGGACGCCTCCAGCTCCAACAGGTTCAAATGCAGCTTGTCGTTATCCTGACGGGATGAAATCAGCAAATCAAACAGAATTAGGAAACTGAACCTTTTTTGCTCAACAGCAGTTATTGTGGATCATCTCACCGGACTAAGTTCCAGAGCTTCCTTTAAAACTCTGCGGGCTTGGCTGGGGTTTCTGTCCACTCTCAGCAGCAGGCGGGCCAGCTTGATGGAGTAGAACGCGTGCAGCGCGGGCTTTTCTTTGGCTTCTGCCACCGCCTCCGTCAGCAGAGCTATCGATTGCTCCAGCTGGCCCGCCCGCCTCTCCAAAGTCACCCTGCGGAGACGTACCACCGCCAAACCGGGAAGGCCTTTCTCCAGGGCCTCCAGCACTCGCCGAGCCTCAGACATCTCACCTTTTAAATAAAGAAGGGGAAGTAGACATTTTAGTTACTTCAGTGCTTTACACCGGAAAGGTCAGAGATATTTAAAGGGGCAATATCATGTTTTATATCATGCTATAATTAGGGGTCGACCGATACATCGGCCGGCCGATATTTTTGGCCGATATTTGCGTTTTTTCCTTGTATCGGCCGATACGTTCGTCCGTTCCATTCTTTGGGCCACGTGAGCGCATGCTGCCGCCCCCTCCCTGAGAGAGAGCGGCTGGTAATGTCATAAGACAGAGTGCCAACAACAATAAGGGTGAGTTGTAAACTTTTAATGTGTTTTAAGTGTCTAATTTAGCTTTTCTGCCCTCTGTCTCAGACTATGAGGGGGAGAGAAGTTTCACTTTCGAACGGAAGCTCCATGTTTTTAGTTTCACTTTGGCATCGGACTGTAATTAGTGTGTCCACGTTGTTTTTCTTTTTAAAAATGCTGGAGCTGCTCAAAGGAGGCAAAGTAAATCACCTCTATTGTTCTCCCTGCTGGATTAAAATAAAAAAGCTCTCGGTCTTTTCTCACTGTGACGTTCATAAGAGCGAGTAAAGAGCTGCCGTCCACCATGTGAACCAGGCAGACGCTGCTCAGATCACGTTTGCTCTGACCGCAGTATAAAAGTCGTGATGCAGGTTTTCTTTGGTGTACATTTCAAACTGAGATCTTAAGCTTGTTAATGTCAGCTGGTTTAAATGCATTTTTTGTTCAGTGTAAAAAACGGGTGCAGATTGAGGCAGAGCTGTCATGAGCTGTGTGTGAAGTCCTCACAAAGATAGCAAGATGTATGTGTGTGTCTCTCCTTTTCTCTGTGTTCCTCTTTAGGCATGTTGCTGTTAACTGTTATCTGTATCTGCCTTCAAAAACCTGTATCGGTCGATCTCTAGTTATAATGTTCTCCTCTCATCAAAAACACACCCAGAGTCTTGCTTTGACTCATTCATGCATGTTTGAGAAATCCTGTGGTGTCCTGAGGCAGCAGGCAGGGGAGCAAAAACCACCGCTTGGGACTAGAACCAACTTTTGGGCTGTGTTTCCTCAACACAGAGCTCTCAATACTAGTTCTCAGAGCAGCCACGGAAACAACACTGGGCACCCCCACTCAAAAAACAAAAACAAAAAAAAAGAAAAAAAAAAAAAAAGAAAAAGAAAAAAGTGTGTCTGTATTCGCTCCGGTTCTTCAGAAAACATACTTTCCGGTCCAACAATAAAGCTCATATGTATCCAGAGATGCAATTTCAACAAAGCATGCTACGACGCTCTAGGTCAGGGGTGTCAAACTCCTGTCCTCGAGGGCCGCTATCCTGCATGTTTTAGAGGTTTTCTTGCTCCAACACACCAGATTTTGATCGGTGGGTGATTAACAGGCTTCTGCCCAATTTGAAGAGTTAATTCAATCACTGAATCAGGTGTGTTGGAGCTGGAAAACCTCTAAAACATGCAGGATAGCGGCCCTCGAGGACTGGAGTTTGACACCCCTGCTCTAGGTTGTAAACAGCAGAGAAGCGGCTGTGATGACGGGATCAGAAGGAGGTTCTTAAAGAGACAAAGGCCAATTTCAAGGTGTTTAGAAATGGAAATGAATGAGAAGTTTATTTTTGATTTAAACATAAAAACAACATTTTAATAACTGAAGGTGACATTAGCTGTGTTTCCATTGCAAATGTGCGCAAAACTTTGTCGATATTCTGTTAATGTCGAAAAACACAGTTTCGCAATTGCGGTGTTTCCATTAAGTAAGAAATGCTATTAAAGTCACGCATGAATGTTTGTTCTCGCGATGAGTCATTACAAACATGGCTGCAGTGGATGTAAACACATAGCATGTTGCTACCATGACACTAGCGCTCATCATCAGCCATCAGAGACGTTGGCGTCTTATCGAGGCTTTCGAACGACAAGCCCCTCATACTTGGGAGCGGCTACGTTGTAGTCGGTGAGTTTACTACTTTCTTTTACTACAGTGATTTCACTACTACTTCTACTTCCTGTTATCTCCTTTTTCACCAGTAGAAACAGACGGTTCTTGATCAAGTGACTCCTGTGATGCGAAAAAAAAAGTGTTTCCATTGCAGTTTTGCGAAATGCACCAATTTCAATACGGCCAAAAAACCACCTCATCCAAGCGCAAAAACATTTTGTCGAAAAAAGTAAATTTTTTTCCAAAATTGACGTGTTTCCATTGAGCAATTTTATTTAAAAATTCTAATTGGCGCATTTTCATGGTCAATGGAAACAGAGCTATAGTTACTTTATTATGGTATAGAATTTAAACATATGCCTGAGAAACATAATATTGCCCCTGTAACTGCCACATTTCTGTTTCTACATATTTATCTGTATTTTATGTTAATTTTATGAAGCGCCACCAGAGGGAGCTGTGGTGTCAGAGTAAGTTTGTGCTGAGTAGATTTAAGTCAAGAAGAAGCGATCTCAAGTAAAGGAGAAAGCATGGACACTAACGTTTAAGAAAAGTAGCGAAACCAAGAAGAAAAAGTATTTTCCTAATTCCTTACTTGGTACTCAGCCAACGAGGTAATTTGTCTGTTTTTATGTTATAGAAGTAGTTTTATTCTACGATTGTCTTTATTTTAAACAAGCTGTTGTCTTGTCTGTGTTTTAGTTTTCACGGTGTGTGTATTGAGTCTGTACCAAGATGGATTCAATAAAAACATCAGTAGAGAAAGCCACTTGTGTCTGTCGGTACCTGGAGGAATTACAGCCCCTTTAAAAACATTTAAGAGAATAACTGGATGTCAGTCAGGTGGCTTTGATGATTTCAAATGGAGGGCAGGAAGTAAAACTTCTCTGGAGGAAACTGGTTTACCCGGTCAACCTGTGACCCAGAAGAGCTATGTGCACAAAATCTACGAAACGGCCCGTTAGTTCACAAATGTGTCGGACATGACCCGTACCTGAGGAAGATAAATGAGTTTTCAACAGAACCAAAAGATCTGCTGCTGCTTCACGTCCTGCCCTCGCTCTAACTGCACTGTGACGTCAGAGGAAAGCAACCTACGAGGACGAGTGTGGGGTTTTTTCTCGTACCGTGCCTCTCCTCGAAGGTGGCCCACTGCATGTGGATGTTGGGTTTGTCGGGGAGGTGGATCTCACAGGCTCGTCTGTAGACGGCTCGGGTCTCATCTGCGCTCTGCGGCTCCAGATACTGAATATACTGAACACACACGCAGGAAGGCGCTGCACATCATCACCTCCACAAACACCGAGCTGCACAGGAGACCTTGTGTCCGAATCATTTTCCTCTTACCCTCATCCAGAACTCCTCGTACAGAGCACAGGCGATCAGGCAGCGCTCAAACAGGATGCGGACTCTGCGGTCGCTGCGGGCCACCGCATCACGCCCTGATGCTTCCTGATTCTGGGCTGTGACCTCTGACTCCTCCATAGCTTCCTGGTTTGGTTCTATCGAGGAAAAAAACAAACAAACATTACATTCAGAGAAACTAACAGCACAGACGGAGCTCTTCACTTTGGGCTCACCTTGTGCAGAATCTTCAGTTTCCCTGTTCAGCTCCGAGATCTCCCAGTCCAGGTAGGAGTGCCAGCCCCCGAGCTGGAGGCGGTCCAGAGGCTTGACGTGAAAATACGGCCTTTTGATCTGTTGTGTAAGATAACAGGACAGGAAGAACAGCAAGTTTCTGAATGAACTTTTACTGACAAATAATTAACGGTTTTATTGCAAATTTACAAAAAAATAAACAAAAATGCTTTTATAACTTTTTTAAAACTGCTTTAAAACTCTCTAAAGATGTATACAACAAACTTGGTGCTCATTTATGATTTAAATACAGAATCTGTTTTTTGACTCCTGATTTAATCCAGAGCCACATTCATCGCAGGATTATTCAAGGTTCTGTTGCTTTTTCAGATTAAATCAGTATTTTACTGCTTCTTTAAACAACATTCAACCCTAGAAAGATTATCTGAGTAAAACTAAATTTGGGCATCATAACTGTTGAAGCTTTCAAGTTGTAAAGCAAGAATCTCACCAAACACGAACAAAAACAAACATTTAACAGAGCATTAAAATAAATAAATCAGCAGAAACTTACAGCGTCTTCAAAGCTCCATCGCTTACGAACTTCTCCCTCGTTGTCCTGGTACACTTTTTCTCTACGGAGCAGCACCTGTTCTCTTATTTTCTGAATAAGTTCCTCCTAGAAACGGTAAAAAAAACCTCTCCATTTCTTTTGTTTATATTTCATCAATATGTTTAGTTGTAGCTGAAATAAATCGTTAAAGCTCAGCATCTGAAGAGATGTAGAGATTCAATAATTATAACTGAAAGATTTGTGGTTAGATTTCAGGTTTGGTCAAAATCATCTGTGCAATCCTAAACTTTGATTCAAACATTAGCTGTTTTATAGATGCCACTTACGGAGTCCGTGCCCTCAGGTGTGGCCGGCTCTTCCTCCCCCGGCGGCCTCTCCTCCTCGACCTCCTGAGCCTGTTCAGCACGCTCAGCCTTCTGGCTCTGTCGGCACGATAACCTGAGCTCCTCGTACTCCTCGGAGGAGAGCACCTCTTTAGGTGGATTATTGTTCAGGTGTTCTTTAAATCTGACCGACGGCAGAGCAGAGGAGGCGCCGTCATTAAAAACAAATCATGTGAATGAAATGAAGAGATGAATCTGGGATTTAAAAAAAAAAAAACATCTCAAGGTCTGTGCATGGAGGGTGGTCTTACTTGTCATAGTGGGTGTTGTAAAGCTGGGTGGGGACTTTGAGGACTCGGTCCAGGACAGCAGCTGCGTTCTTCGTGTTGCCCTGCTCCTTCTCCCACTCGACGTACAGATCCCAGAGTCGATCTGAGTGGAAGTCCAGACCGGCTGCTGCAACGGCATCCTCAAACACTCTGAGGGTTTGAAATTTAGAAAATAAGAAAAAAAAAAGTTTTCTGTCGTTCTGCACCACATCCTGCTCGATATTTAGGAAAATAAAAGCAGCAAGTTTAATGACTAGAGAACAGGAAAACTCAGCTGCTACAAAATCCCCAAAAAGTGTGTTTTCTACATTAGTTTATTTTCATAACATTTATACGTTTTTTTGAGTTCAAACACAAATATGTTTTGTAAATCGAGGGCACAATTTATTCAAAGCTTACGGCAAATTAACTTTTAAAATATGCTATTTTACATATTTTAAAACAAGCTAAATGTTAATTTACTCTAAACCAGGGGGGGAAATCCTGGTCCTCAAGGGCCGCAGCCCTGCATGTTTTACCTTTTTCTCTGCTCAAACACACCTGATTTGAATGAATGGGTGATTATCAGGCTTCTGCAGTACAGAGGACCAAAACTGACATAATTAAAAATAAAAGGGAAATATATAAATTGACTAGTAAATAAATACACTTAAAGTGCACCAATATAATTCAAAAAGGAGAATTTTATTTAAAGTGTGTATATACCGACAGCTACATAAATAAATAAATACAATAAAAAATGTACCATTTAAAGT